CTCCTCCTCCTCCTCCTCCTCCTCCTCCTCGTCCTCCATCCCTCATCCTTCTAATTGACTCCTCCCTGCCGCATCTCGAAACTGGTCGAAGGGGCGGGCCGGGCGTTTCGCTTGAGGCTTCCTCACCCTTTATGATCCTGATGATTCGAATTTGCAAGAATTTCGCGGATGGAAAGCGGTCCGCTTTCAAAATGTGGCTCTCGCCTTAGCGCCGCGCAATCATCTTCTTAACATGTTGCAAAAGTTTCACGGGTGGAGGGCGGCCCGCTTTCGCAATGTGGCTCTCGCCTTTGCGCCGCGCACTATGAATGTATGTCTGTATGTCTGTATGTCTGTATGTCTGTATGTCTGTCTGCCTGTCTGTCTGTCTGTCTGTCTGTCTGTCTGTCTGTCTGTCTGTATGTATGTATGTACGTATGTATGAAAGAGCATGATCCACCGCCGCTTTACTGTGGAAAATCCCCCCCCCCCCCCCTCTTCCTCCGGAACCAGGGGTTCCCCCCCCCCCCTTCGAAAATCCCCTCCCCTGCTGGAACCTCCCCCCCCTTCCCCCGGCACCCCCCCCCCTTCCCGAAAACCGGAAGGGGTCTCTACCGGTTTGAACCCGCTTCCCCCCCCCCCCTCACCGCTAGCAAACGACTCCCGGGTCTCCACCACCGTCCGCACCACATCCCCCACCGCTGTCCTCAGCACCACCGTCCCCACCACCGTCCCCACTTTTCCCACCACCGTCCCCACTGTCCCCACCAGTGCCCCCACCACTGTCGCACTGTCCCCACTGTCCCCACGGTCCCCACCACTGTCCCACTGTCCCCACTCTCCCACTGTCACCGCCGCTGTCCCAGTGAGCTGTCCCACTGTTCCCACCACTGTCCCCACTGTACCCCTGTCCCATTGTCCCACCACCGTCCTCACCACCGCCCTCACCACTGTCTCCACCACCACCGTCCCCACCACTGCCCCACTGTCTCCACTGTCCCCACCTCTGTCCCACTGTCCCCACACCATTGTCCCCACCACCACCGTCCCCACCACTGTCCCAGTGTCCCCACCGTTCCCACTGTTGTCCCTGCTGTCCCCACCAGTGCTCCCACCAATGTCTCACTGTCCCCTCTGTCCCCACCATTGTCCCACCACGGTCCCTCTCTCCCCGTTGTCCCCACCGTCCCCACCATTGTCCCCACTGTTCCCACCACTGTCCCACTGTCCCCTCTGTCCCCGCCGCTGTCACACTGTGCTGTCCCACTGTCGCCACTGTCCTCACCACTGTCCCACTGTCCCCACCTCTCCCCACTGTACCACTGTCCCACCACCGTCCTCACCACCGCCTTCACCGCTCCCCATCACTACCGTCCCCACCACAGTCCCGCTGTCCCCACTGTCCCCATTACTGTCCCGCTGTCCCCTCACCACTGTCCCGTCCCCACCACCACCGTCCCCACCACTGTCCCACTGTCCCCACCACTGTACCACTGTCCCCACACCACTGTCCCCACCACCACCGTCCTCACCACTGTCCCAATGTCCCCACCACTGTCCCACTGTTCCGAGCAGCGGGAATCGTTTACCGGCGGCGAGGGGGGGGTTGGGGGGGGCTCGAACCGGTAGTGACCCCACCCCTTTTCCATGATGGACGGGGGGGGGCGGGGCTGGGGGTTCGAACCAGTAGTGACCCCACCCCAGTTTTCGAAAGGGGGGTGGGGGGTGGGACGGGTTGGGAACCCCCAATGACCCCCCCGGTTTTCCGCCAGCAGCGGTAGAACATGCTCTTTCGTATGTATGTACGTATGTATGTATGTATGTATGTAAGTAAGTAAGTATGTAAGTAAGTAAGTCAGTAAGTAAGTACGTACGTACGTACGTACGTACGTACGTATGCATGCATGCATGCATGCATGCATGCATGCATGCATGCATGCATGCATGTATGTATGTATGTATGTATGTATGTATGTATATATATATGTGTGTATGTATGTCTGTATGTCTGTACGTCTGTATGTCTGTATGTCTGTATGTCTGCATGTCTGTATGTCTCTATGTATGTATGTGTGTAAGTGTGTATGTATGCATGTATATATGTATGCATGTATGTATGCATGCATGTATGTATGTATGTATGTATGTATGTATGTACGTATGTACGTGTGTATGCATGCACGCATGCACACATGCATGAATATATACATGCGTACATGTATGTATGTATGCATGTATGTCTGTCTGTCTGTCTGCCTGCATGAATGAATGAATGTATGTATGTATGTATGCATGTATGTATACATGCACGTATGCACGTATGTCTGTATGTATGCATGCAGGTATGTATGTATGTATGTATGTATGTATGTATGTATGCATTCATATGGATACATATATGTGTGTGTGTGTAACAACAGCTGCGGAATCTTCACGGATGGAGGGCGGCCCGCTTTCAAAATGTGGCTGTCGCCCTAGCGCCGCGCACATGGTTCGCAGTAGTCAAATCCCAGGAATGGTGTTGTGGCACGATTCGTAATCGTCAGAGCGCAACAATCTCGGAGATTCGCGGCGTTGAAGTCCCAAGAATGTTGTTCTGGTATTGATCCAGATTTTCAAACGGTTGTCTTCCAACGGGGCGGCCTGAAGAAAGGAGCTTGGAGGGAGGGTTTATTGCAATATCGTTGATGAGCCTTGGGTTTGCACTGGTCGTTGTCCTCCTCCCCCTCCTCCGCCCCTCCACGTCCTCTTCCTCCTCCTCCTCCTCCTCTTCCTCCTCCCCCTCCTCCTCCTTCCTCCTCCTCCTCTTCCTCCTCCTCCTCCTCCTCCGTATCCTCCTCGTCCTATTCCTCCTCCTTTACCTCTTCCTCGTCGTCCTCCTCCTCCTCCTCCTCCTCCCCTTCTCTTCCTCGTCTTCCTTTTCAGCTCCCTTGGTGAATGCCCCTGAAAGACCCTCCGCAAACCATAAATCCACAACGCCCAAACGCCACAACTGGAGAGTCCCCACTCCCATTCAAAAACTCATGCGGACAACTCCCGCATACATTGGAACCTCCCAATCGATTCCCCGTCTCTCGGCCATGACCTCGTAGAGCCCCTGAACCCATCCGAGTCGGCAGGAATGCAGAGGGGGCACCACAAGGTTGGACCTCGGGATGGGCTGTCGGGAGGTGGGGCCGCTCCCAAGCTTGAAATCTGGCCAAGCGCGTTTTCGACCAGAGGTGGGGTGCTCGGGACAAGCCTCCCGCAACTTCAAACTCTGACGCCTCGCGTATGCTACACATCTGGGACACAGGGTTAAGCCCTCGGCCTCGCCTGACCGCCACAAGCGGTTGGACCGATGCACCTGAGCCGATTTCGCTGGAATCCTGGGCATCGATGTTGGACAGGGCGGCCTCGGGCCCTGTAAGTCCTGGCGCAGCTCGAAAAGCTCCAACGACCAGCCTGGATCTTCACCTGATGCCCTTTGGGACCGAAACTGCGTTCGAGCGGATCGAACGAACGACGAATTCGACACTCCTGGGCATCGGGGAACCCAGCCTGCGCAGGATGACCTAGAATTCGTGCAGCATAGAAAGAAACAACATAGGCCGACCGCCCAGCAAATGCCTCTTGGCGACCACCTTCTCCGACACGGGGTGCGTCTTCGCGCCTCTCTTCGGGGTATGCGTCCCCCGAGCTGCCTCGTAGCGGCCAGAATCTCGACCTCTGGGCCAGGATCCAGGATGCGATTCGTGCGCGGGGCTGTGGGAGCATCGAGCTTCTCTGGGTCCCCTCCCACCAAGAGGAGGTGGCCTCGCTCCCTGTGGCCTCGCGGTTTCATGTTTTCGGTAACGAGTGTGCAGATGCCATCGCGAGCGGAGCTGCCGAGTTGGCCTGGTCTGAATTCGTGGTTCAGCCCCCCCCCCCCCCCTACGGACGAGCGAGACGCCGAGGCGGCCCTGATCCGCCGCCGTGCGCGGAGAGCCCTCGCCGCCTCCATCCATGCAGACCCGTGGACCTCGGAGCGTCCCGAGAGGGAGGGGGGGCCCCCACTTCCGAAGTTGGCGCGTGCTCTGAAAGACTCGGAGCGCTCTTGGGGTCGAGCTGGTGCTGAGTTTTATTGCCGTAGATGCAGCCTGTTTTCGAATCAGGATTTGATATTCCAGATGTGCCTCGCCCGTTGCTGTGAGAAGGTCCTCCCTGAGTTTTCGCTTCTTCGGGGTCCCCAGAGTGTCCCGGGGAAAGACCTGCATCCGACTCACACGCTCCAGAGGTGGGACAAGTTGGATCTTGTGTTTTGTACGATATGTGGCAAGACGTGCGCCACCGACCCCCGCCAACTCGTTAAGAAGTGCGAGCAGTCGGCCAAAGGCAGACACAATCTTGCTAATTTCCGCGCGGGTTAGTACCCGCACCCGTCTGGTCCCCCGCAAGCAGTGCGGGAGGCGGAATCACAGAGACTCCTGCGGAATTCAGGTATGCAGAAGCCATAAAGCAGTTCCTCTTTGCCAATTCATCGGCTTCGCCGCCTTCCGCTAGACTCACGCTGTCTTTCTTCTGAAACGTTCCTGAAACGTTCGCGCCTCTCTTCGCAAAAATGGCGGCCAACCTTTTCGTTTTTGGAGGGACCGCGGGGCCCCACGAGCCGACGCACCCTTGCAGGAACTGCGCGACGGGGCCCGTCCGATTTCAACCAGTTCTCTGCCTATACCGTCCGGCACGAATACCGCGCCAAGTTTCTGCGTGAATTCTGGTGGCGCTGCGCGTTGCTACTGGGCAGGGCTGGGTGCCACCTACCAGGGCCTTACAGTCCGACGCAACGTGCAACTCTCTTATACAGGCACATGTAGAAGGCCCCACAACTCTGCCAATCTTATCTCCTGTATCGGGCTGGGGAGCCAACCGCAAATCGCGCTTTCTGAACTGCCGTGCCGACTAGCTCGAACAGTGCGCGGGCAGGTCGGATGCATGCGCGACACGCCATTCCTAAGCTACCAGCTCAAGGCCCCCCCCAACGTAGGACCACCCCTACTGATGCT